TCTGTTCCTTAATGGCAGCCCCAGCTCCTCTTGCCTTTATTGCAGTTGACAATCCAAATTAACTTGCAGCATTCCCACTGTCTGTGTATCCAAGCAGAGTCTTACCTCCCAAGCTTAATTTTTCAATAAAAATCCTCCAAAACCCTGGCACTCTGGGAATCCCATAGTTCATAACTGTATTCCTTTCCATGGTTTCTTTTTCAGTAGATTTAGAGCTTAGGGTACAACTAGCAATAACTTGTGGCTATAATGTGTCTTATGGTCAAGCATCTTGGAACAGGACCTATCTTTTTCCCAACATACCTTGCAAAGGCTGCCATGTACATTAGTACACTGCCATGGCTACTTCCTCTTTCACTTGCCCTATAAGAAAGATTCAATTAAATCTCTGCCTCTTCATGACCTCACCTCTTGGATTCATTCAAAATCTATACTAATATTCACAGGTCTTCAGTAAACACACTGTACCTTAAGGATCAGAGATAACACACATTTTACGTAAGAAATCATGAACTGCTTGCTTTCCAGATCACGTCGGGAAAAGGCTGTAAACCTCTCCACATTATCTCAGTACAGGGACACACCTAGGGTGTGTGAGGCCCTGGACAAATACTTTTTGCAGAGTCCTATCCTAGATGGAAAAAAAAATGATTAAAATGTTCTATAAAATTTGTGGGCACATGTAAGGAATAGTGATCTTTCCATGCTATTTTAAATGGGAAGAGAAAAATATTTACATCGTTGTTTAACGTCCTATAAGTGCACATGAAAATTCATTATAAGTAAAGAAACCCCAAATCAGCATGTCAGCCCCTTCTGGTGCTCCAATATCATGCAGTTTGATGAAAGAAATAGAGATACTTTTCAGAACTGGTATTCTACCATGGAGTTGAAAGTCATTGGGCTCCTGAGACATTTAGTCATCTCTGCCTGCAAGGTGGCAGTGAGGGGGTGGGCGGGGGGAGAGTCTAGAGAATCAAAGGACACCTGAAAGGGGAGAAGTGGGGGCTCAGGTCCACACAGGTCTTGATGAAAGCTCAGGTTTCCTGTCCCAATAGTGCTGCCCTGCCTGCCCTGGTCAGTCTTGCACACTGGATTCAGATTTCCATTTAAAAGGAAATGCTCCCAAGTAAGGGTCCCTGAGAGGCCCCAGCTTGCCTGGGTTGGGGCATGCATAGTTTCTAAGGGCCTACTTCTCATCACCTGTTGCTTGGATTGGCTTAGGGGTTGAATCTCTTTCAAGTTGTGGAGTCATAAAAATATAAATCTTATGTTATAGAAGTTGGAATAAAGGATACTGCTGCCTTTTTACTCCAGTTTCTGCTTTTCCACTATCTCCTTGTCCCTGGAGGTCACCCTGGTGACAATTCTCCTGCTCTCTCCCTTCACCTAACTTTCTCACTGCAAAACAGGACAGAGTTACTTTAGCCAGTTGCTTCTCATCTGTTAAGGAATGCTTTATTTCCATCACGCATGGTCAGTAGAGCAGGATTGATCTCCCTAAAATGCACTGCCACTTGTCACAAAGAAAACTGCATACCTGGTTGGTGTCTTGAAATGTTGTGGTCTAGCCATAGCAAGCCTCATGGTACATTTTATCAAGTTCTCTTCCAAAACTTCAGCAGAAACACATGTGTGCCTCTCTTGCTTAATTGTTTGCCAACAGTGAGGTCATTCAGGCTTTTACAAATGATTAGCTAATGTGATAGACAAAAATGCTAGAGTGTTGTCTAAATGAACGCGGGTATTTTCTCAGAAGGAGCATTGGATATTTTAGCAATAGCCAATCAATTAAATTTAATTACCTTTTTAGGTCCTTTACTTACTCATCTATTTTGAACTAAGTATTTTAATATATTTGTGAAAGCTATCATAACCTTAACGATCTTGGCTCTTTTTTTGTCACTACTGATAGGACAAGTTATTTTCTTGCTCCCTGTCTTTTTTTTTATTTTTTACCTTCTTTGAAAGTTTGGATAATTTTATTTTTTCTAAATTCTTTTTTTGGGGGGAGAGGGGAGCAGTACTAGGGTCTGAACTCAGGACCTTGTGGCTTATCAGGCAGGGCTCTGCCATTTGAGCCTCACCCCAAGCCCTAAATTTATTTTTTGACAAACAAATTGCAGAATTTTTTAAATAATCAAAGCCATTAATATTTTCCTTTGTAGGTTATTTAATCTTTTTTGCTCTTATAAAGTGCCATTTTATTATGTCATTGATTTGCTAAACAAAAGTTAAATAATTCAGAAATCTAAATTTGTCTTTTAAACAAATAACTTAGTAAATTCTTTCTTCAGCATTAATTCATTAAAAACTATTGAATTTATTTGTGAGAGAAGACATAGATAGGAATTTTAAAGAACAGCCTGCAAAAGAAAAGTAGTAGGCTCCAGGCAAATGGCTCAGGAGCTAAAAAGTCCACCAAGCTTTGGCTTTGTCAGAGGGGCATGTGGGAGGGGGGTCCTGAACAGTGGATGGGTCAATGTACCTACAAAGTAACCTACCCCTAGGATATGGTTTTTCTTCCTGTGACTTTTTGTAGTTATTGTTTCAGGATATTGATGTTGACACATCATATGGTGGATAACTTAAAAATCTCTTGTGATTTCCCGTGACCTTGGTGAGTTATTTTGACACTTATGGAGGCTGCGAAGTGTTTTTCCTCTCAGAGACCTTAAAGAATCCTCCATTTTTCGGTTGTCTTTGCATATCTCCATTGCTTTTTTGAGGTGGGACAAAGAGGAGTTTCTAGCCTTCCTTACTCCTACCTTTGACTTCCTAGTGCTGGGTTTATAGGCTTAATGAATTTTAATAAGTGCAAAACTCTATAGCACAATATTTGTTCATTAAAAGTATTTTTCTGTGTCCAGGCATTGTGGTACACACCTGTAGTCCCAGCACTCAGGAGGCTGAGGCAGGAGAATTGTGAGTTCCAGGCCAGCCTGGACTACATAGTGAAGCCCTGTCTCAAGAAAAACAAAACAAACAAAACCAAAAAAAAAGGAAAAAAAGGAAAGTGTTTTTCTGATTCATATCTTAGCTTTATATTTTCTTTACTTCTTGCTGTTTAGAAGTGTTTTTATAACTCAGTGAAGAAACTATGATAACTCAATAAAGAAAAATTGATATTTTATTTTATAATCAACAAAACATTTCAAATAAAACAAATGCAACTAAAAACCTCTCTAGTTTTCACTTTAACTTCACATTTCATACACTGCACAATATTTATAAGATGGTTATTTTGATTATTTTGATTATTTTCTAACTAGGGCTGAGGAGCAGGCAACAAGCCTGCCAAACAGTTAAATGCACCATGAGGGTTCTGCTCTCATTTACCTCGTGTGAGAGATCAAAAGCAGTTCTAACTCCCAATACAAATCCTAGAAAACACAGGGTTTACTTACTTCTCATGTTAAGCATTAAGAATGACATGCAAGTTAAAATTAGCCTTGTTACTAAGTTAAAACGCTCTTGAAATCTTAACTTGGCTGTATTACAATATTTAAATCACCATATTTAAAAGCCAGCTTACAAACAATGGCTTATCCTGTTGGCTGTTTTTTTTTTTAAGTTCAACTTTTCTTCTTCCGTCTTTCTTTCTTCTTTCTTTTCTTGCATATTAATTAGAGAGCATCTTTCTATAGACATTGTGAAGAATAATTTCCCTTGAGGAGCATCAATGGATAAGACAAGCTATACAAAATTAACAGAGAAAATGCTGTATGGTTCACCTTATTATGTAAAAAAAAAGTTACATTCTTGAGCTATGTTTAGATATTACCTGTGACCACTGTGCTGTAAAAACTACAATGAAAGTACGTTTTTTCACTGAAAATCCCAGTGTTCAGATGAACAAGCAGATAGCAACATAAGCTAAATACTTGCTATCAGAAATGAACGACGAGTTTTCTGAACAATTCTCCAGTGAATGTCTGTCCATAAAAGAAAGGGCAGTCAGTGACATCTGCCGACTGACACTCTCTGTTGCTACCATCTAGGGACGTCTCCTCCTTGATGGGTGGCCACCTGTGAACCTGGACACCTTAAATAACTATCTGCACCAGTGACCATATATCCTGATTTAGTCACTGTGCAAAGACTCTTCAAAGAGGTTGGGACTGAAATTCTTAGAGAAGCAAATGAGGGAGGTGCCTGGTGGCTGTCAATCGAGAGGAAGGATTCATGACCACACCATCTATTTCCACAGCAGACTAGCTCCCCCTAGTGACGCATTCTTATTTGTCTGCAAAGTTATCAGAGAAGATAAAGCAATTTCCCAGTCAAGATCCAAGTCTAGGAAAGAAAATTATCTCTTAAGAAAAATGTGAACTTGATGTTAAACTCAAAGTATGTTTTTAGCACAAATGATTTGGAGGTGTTATTGCTTTTGTAACAACATCACAAGGGTAAAAATGTTAAACCTGCACTTAGTATATCCAAGAATTTTCCTTCAATGATGTGGATATTTTGGGAAAAGGAATGTGTCTGGGAAAACAAAGCAAGTGTCAGAATTGAGCCATTCCAGTACATCAAGAGTTAAGCATTTTTTGTGTGTGGTCCTGGGGCTTAAACTCGAGGCCTACACCTTGATCCACTCCACCAGCCCTTTTTTGTGATGGGTTGGGTTTTTTTGAGATAGGGTCTCAAGAACTATTTGCCTAGGTTGGCTTTGAACCATGATCCTCCTGATCTCTGCCTCCTGAGTAGCTAAGATTTCAGGCATCAAGCTTTTTTGTTTGTTTGTTTGTTTTGGCAATACTAGGGTTTGAACTCAAGGCCTTGTGCTTGTGCTGTACCACTTAAGCCATGACTGCAGTCATTTTTTGCTTTGGATATTTTTGAAATAGGGTCTCACATTTATGCTCTAGCCAGCCTTTATTCCATTCCTCCTATTTTCGCTTCCCCATACCTGGGATGACAGGTGTGCACCAACATACCTCATCGGTTGAGAGGGGTTCTCACAAACTTTTTGCAGGGGCTGGTCTCAACCTCAATCTTCCTGATTTCCACCTCCTGGGTAGTAAGGATTACAGGTGTAATTTACCATGCCCAGCTCTCACACTTTTTACAATGAATGAATGAAGGGGCTTTATGTGCCCATATGGATCCATTAAAAAAAATCCAAGATGGTAGAATACCGATATGATCCACATGTCATTTCTAAAGAAAGTAAAATTAAAATTCCTAGAAGAATTTTCTGAAAAGTGACACAGTGATTTTTTCCTCTTTACAATCACATTGCAAAGTGAACGAGGATTGTAAACCACCAATGTCTAACGTTTTTATTTTAATCTAAAACACATAGACTGCATCATAGCAGATCCCTAGGTTGGAATCACTGTCTTTAATAAGCCTCATATTGAACTTGAAATACATACACACGAAACTATTTGAGAGAAGACTATTTGTGAGGCATAACTGCAAATAACTGTGTCCCCAAAAAAATGTGTCTTCCGTAGTAATGTCCAATTGGCAAGAGCACATTGGGCCATTCCCTTAAAATTCCTTTCCATAAAAGACAAAGATAGATCACGAAAAAATGTAAGAACGGAAGCACCCTCCTCAGGAGTCCGGAAACGCCTTGATGATGGACTCATAGGCCGGTGGCGGTGGGGTGGCCAGGCCAGCCCGGAGGCTGTGGCTGGACCAGCGCAGGTCGGGCCGGCTCAGGCTGTGCGCGTTGGTGATGGGGGAACCAGCGCTGCAGGTGGACAGAGTCATCAATTGACTCTCTGTCTCCACGGGAAGGGGTGGACATTGCAGAAAAGGGTGGAAAGTGGAAGCCCTGAAGCTTGACTTTCTCGGGAAGGAATTTGCCAGTTCCAGGGACGCTTGTCGCTGGAAGGTCAGACTGGCCAGGCTGAGGTTGCTCCGACGTTCACAGCCACTGTGACGGTAAAAGCCAGTTCTGTTGAGGCCATGGGAGTAGGAAGACCTCGATCGCCTACTGGAACTCCATTGGGAGATGGGAGCACTGGCTCTTCTTCTAGACAGACAAACGAACAGCGCCCAAATAAATCCTCCAATTACCAGCCCAATTGCCATGGATACCGTGAAGGATATTATAAGGTCCTCTGAAACAAAGAAAACCAATGACTAAATCAATTTTTAAACAGACATTCAATTAAAAACACAGGGCAAGGTATAAACTGTAATTCATGGAAAGCTTGATGAAACACAGTTTGATTTGGGAACTAGGAAATGTGCTGGGTGGAAATGAATTTATGATACAAGCTAATCATGCATCCTAAATAATCTTATTAGCTGCAGACTTCCAGGTTGCTTATGCTATTTGATCATCTTTAAGAAATAAGAAGTAAAAATAGTCTCACTGGGTTCATATCTTATTATCTCAATTATTCTGATAGCTCTGAAAATGTTGTTCAAAGATCATTTCCTTTTGAGTTACAATTGTAACCAGTGTTCTAAAGTTGATAGAGAATCTGGTCCTGGCTTTGTGCCTGCCTTTTCCTCTGCCATAATTGATCACACTGATTCTCCCACCTGCAGGCCCCCTGATGCCTCACTCCTGCGCTCATTCTAAGATAGGAAGTGCTGGTATAGCACCATCTGGAGAGCAGACTGATTTATGTAGTGTTTCCTGAACTCCCAGACCGTCATTCATAACCCTGACTCCAGGATGGTGTGAGCTGGGTTCTTATTCCCCAAGTTCCAGCTCATCCTGCTGTCATGCCCTTGCTATGATAACGAAATTCCTGCCGCCTGAATCTCCAGAGAGTTGCCCCTACATCCTACACACCGGTATCCTCCAATTCTTAGAACTTTCATCTGTTCAGATTTCCTGTTCTGGCAAATGTATGTGTGTATACCTTCCCCAAATGGAAACACTACCCTAGTACCTCTTGCAAAGTAAACACATGTTCTTGAATATCCCTTCCCTTGCGTGGTAAACCTCTCTGGATATTACAAGACCCCACCAGTCTCACCACCCACCACATTTCCTATCTTCTACCCATTGTAAGATGAAGCCCACAAGTCATGCTGATTTTCTTTCTGTCCCAAAGCCTGTCATTTCCTCTAAAACTCTGTAGTTTCCCACATATTTTTCCTTATATCTTGACACAGTTTCTATTTATTTGGCAGTACTGGAATTTGAACTCAGGAACTCCTGCTTACTAGGCAAGCACTCTACCACTTGACCCATGCCCCCAGACCTTTTTGATTTAGTTTGCTTGTAGATAGTGTCTCACACTTTTTCTGGGGTCAGCCTCAGACTGACATCCTCTCACCTCTGCCTCCCCAGTAGTTGGGATAACAGGCATGATCCACCATACACTACCTTCTGGATACAGTTTTTTCACCTGTCTAGAAAATTCATTCTTCAAAATCTATTCCAAGTATTGTCTCTTCAATAAAAATTTCTACATTTCTGAGACAAAAAGTGAGTTACTATTAGGTAGAGAGGTAAGCTATATATTTAAGTGCTCATTGGGAGATTCTGTATTGAATCTCCCATATATTGATCCATAGACTGGAAATTAGCTGATTGGGGTAGTAAGATTGGGAAGGGGGCACAAATTCTTTGCTGTTCTTCCCATCAACAAGTGAGTCTATTTCCTTTCCCTCTGAGTTGGGGTAGCAACGTGACTGACTTCAAACAATTGAATGCAGTAGAGTCAAAGCCTTGTAAGTTCAGGCCTAAGCTACAAGAGGCTTTCAACTTAAAGCCAACATAAGACAGCACACTTTGCTGCAATGAGGAGAATTGGAACCTGGTATCTCGGGATGGTGGTATAGGCACACAGGATCCTAGTTTCATTCACCCGGAGAGGAAAGGTCAGAGGGCGAGACGAGAGTGAAGTTAATATTAAAAGGTGTTGAATTTGAATATATCTGGGGTATTCATTTGGGAATAAAAGGTTAAATTCATATAGATTTCAATGGAGAAACTAACAGTGGCAATCTTAAAGCCATCAGAGTTTCCTCCATCTATAGAAAGCCCTGACACTAAAAATAAGAGTGTGCTTAAAGAAATGAGTTGAGAATAGACTTCCAGAAAAAAATAGGATTTGCAAGGTGGCAGAAATAAACAAGGAAAGGAAGCAGAACTAATCAGAGAGGAATGAGGTGACAAGAATGATCACTAGTATTAAATCAATGTGAGGAATAGTAAGGTAATAATTAGATTAAATCTCTGTTTCTGATCACTTCATGATCACATATTTTAATTGTATTACAATCACTAATATTAACTTTTTTGCCACTTGTAATCATGATATCAATTCTTATTTCATTGGAAATTCTCTAGAAAAGAGCTAAATAAAAATCACAAACTGCTCAAGTATGTCATAGAACCAAATCCTTTGTTTCTTCTTCTGAATAAGTACATAAGTAGAGGCATTTCACTAAATACCTAATTTTACTTTATTTGAGAGAAGTTTTGGCAGGCTTTATTTTTGTGAGATTCCTTGCGTGTAAGTTGGGTAACTTGTTATTTCACATCATTAAGTAATCAGTTGTCTATCCTTGGCCATAAAGAAATGCAAATTAAAATAACATTGAGATTTTGCCTTGCTCTAGTCAGGATGGCTATCACCAATAACACACACACAACCACAAATGCTGGTGAAGAAGTGTGAAAAAAAGGAACTCTTGCTCATGGAAATGTAAATCTGTGCAAGCACTATGGAAAAACAGTATGGAAGTTCCTCAAAATACTAAAAATAGAGCAGCTATATGATCCAGCCATACCACTCCTGGACACGTACCCAAAAGAATGTAAGCCAGGAGACAATAGAGCCACTTGCACACCCATGTTAATTGCAGCACTATTCACAATAGCCAAGCTGTGAAAGAGCCCAGATGCCCTACAACTGCTGAATGGATTAATAAAATGTAGTGTTTATATACACAATGGAGTTTTATTCAGCCATAAAGGAGAATGAAATTACGCTGTTTGCAGGTAAATGGATGGAACAGAGAACATCATGTTAAGCAAAGTAAGTCAAGCTCAAAAGATCAAAGGTTACATGTTTTCTCTCATGTGGAAGCTAGGCCTATAAGATAAATGTACAGATTTGATTATATATCTCTATACGTTTCTATTATATATCCTTAAATATGATTATACATATATATATATAGAGAGAGAGAGAGAGAACATGATTACATTAGTAGATCTGTCTGAGGGGACTACTGGGAGGTGGGGGATAGGGAGTAAAAAATAGTGAAACATTGCATCTGTGTAGGAAGATACTATAATGCATACCACTCCACTGTAAGCTGTTGAATAATATGAGAATGGGGCGATAGAGAAAGAGTAAGTAATGAGGGGTTAATCTGATTAAGTCACAATACATACATTGTGAAATACCAAGACAAAAGCCCCCTGAACTATCAATATACACTTAAAAACATGAATGACAGGAAGGTAAAACTGATCCTGTTTGAGGGTGGGTACCAGTGGGAGGAAAGATGGCATAAGGAGAGAGTGAGGGAGGGTGAATATGGTACATGTATTTTGTATTCATGTATGAACACAGTACAAGGAAACCTGTTGAAATTGTTCTAAGAAGCAGGGGAGGAAGGACTAAGGAGAATGATGAAGGGGTGAATCTAATTAAGATGTATTGTAAACACATATGTAAATGTTATAATGTATCCCTCTGTACAACTAACATATGCTAATTAAAAAAAGAAAATGAGGGGAAAAGTGATCAGTTGTCCCTGGAAAGGAATTTTCTCATTCACAGATGAGTTTATGACCTGGAGAATCCATCAGTTAATTATCTTGAAAAAAATTTTAATTAAGAGAATATGAACAAAGCCATTCATGAATTCTGTCTTCTTCCTGTTTAGGATAAATGAATGAGTGATGCCCATGGTCCATCTTAATGTTGTGTTTCTCAATAGGAAAATCATACCTTGGGTTGGGAACCAGTGGATAAACTGAGAGCTCTTTCTACATGTGAACCCAGAAAAGTTTCACTAAAACTCTGATTTTTAAAATTTGATGTTTGGTGTAATAGTTTATAAAATGCAACCCTCATTTTTAAATCCATTTTGCTATTAAATAGCAGTCTCTAACTTCTAATTTAACCTTCCTAGTGCTCTGTTAATATAACTAGTCATGACATGGTATTCATAGGTCACATGAACTGATTTAACGGCATATATGACTTGATCTTCAAGCACACCCATAAAGGGAACATGGGTGTTATTACTATTGAACTGTTACTTGGGTCACTAAGAGACGTAATTAACAAGTCCATAGTCACACACCTGGCAAGTGGTCAAGTGAAGATTTGAGCCTGTGGTATTAATAGCTAAATTGCTTATTGATTTCTTAGGTGTAAGATAAAAAAAAATTAATCTAAAGTGAAAGTGAAGAACATAAAATACCTTAAAATTGCATCAATTTAATTCCAGAATCTCTGCTAGCCTTTTACAAACATAAATACTTGGGGAAATGGTGATTTAAAAAAAAATAGCATGTTCTACAGTTCTAATTTTCTGAATCAATAGCATCCAGTGGAGTATTTTACATATAAAGAACTTTAAATATGGAATCAAACAATGGGGTTTCAGTCAATACAAACTCTTATAAAACACCTTGGTTCAAACTTCTCATTTTATGGGTAGTGAAACAAAAACTAAGCACTATGTGGTAGAAATAATGCTTGATTTATTTTAATAATTTCTTGACATCTATCACTGGTCATGGGATTATTACTTAAACTCACGTATGACATAAAATGAGGAGACAAATACTCAAATTCACGAAGTGTATGCCCTTGTTTTTGTGTATAAACCAACTTAATCATTACTAGGGTATGATTAAAGACTCCATTTCAAGATATAAAGAGGGATAATACATTAAAGGGATATATCTGTTTTATTTCAGCAAAATGGAGTAAAACCAGAATACGAAAGGAGAGAACAGACTCAGTTACCCAATACAAGCATGTCAAAGCTCTGGGAGCTATTAAAGTGATTGACGACATTAGCAAAACAACCAAAGTACATTGAGTGAAGATATATATATATATATATATATATATACGTATATATATATTTCATTTCAGAAATATATTGTTGTTTTTGTGTAAGAAAA